ACTATCAAGTGTGTTGACAAATCGGCAAAAAGTGAGATTAGTCTTATCGGCGCATAGCGTGGTCAATCGAGAATATTTTCGTCGGGAAGAAAAATACTTGTTACAGTTACAAGGCAAGGCACGAACAGAAGATGGAAGTTAACAATAGTAATGTGATGAAACTGGAAGGAGTTAGAAATTGGAATATTTGGAAATTTCAAATAAAAGTGCTACTGAGAGGTCAGGGATGGCTGGACATTGTAGAAGGTCGAACTGTTAAACCTGAAGAAGAAAGTGCAAAAAATACCTGGGAGACTAAAGATGCTAAGGTTCAAACACTACTGGTAACAAGGATGTCGGATGATGTCATGTTACATCTCATATCATGTACAACTTCTGCAGAAATGTGGAAAAAACTGCTAAGTGTATTTGAACAAAAGTCGGAAACTAGCATCCACATTATTCAACAGAAATTTTTTCAGTATAAGTATGAGAAAGGTACTGAAATGTCGGTGTTTTTATCGAAAATTCAAGAAATTCAAGGTCAGTTGAAACAAATGGGTGAAGAAATTTCTGATAAGTTTACCATAACCAAAGTTCTCATGAGTCTACCGGATGAATATAAACATTTCGTGTCGGCGTGGGAGACGGCACCTGAAGACAAGCAAACATTCGACAATTTAGTGGCCAGGTTATTAGTAGAGGAGGAGAGGATGAAGGCAAAAACAGAAGAAATCCAGGATGCTACCTCCTCGTCGGCGTTTGTAGTTAAACGAAACGTAAAGTGTTTTAAATGTGGTAAAGCCGGACATTTTCAAACAGAATGTAGAAATAATAAAGATAATGAGAAAAAGGGAAATGATAACAAGTGTTTCTACTGTGGCAAAATCGGACACTACAAGGCACAGTGTAGATTTAGAAAAGCAAAAGAAAATAAAAAGATGAGTAATGCGTTTCTGGTATCTAACTCAGTTGGCGAACAATATGATAAATCGAAGTGGCTTGTTGACTCTGGGGCTAGCGAGCACATGTGTCGTGAACGATCGTTGTTTTCATCATTTAAAAGTATCTCGCAAAAGTCTGTAATAGTCGGTAATGGCGCCGTGATCAGTGTGTTAGGATATGGACAATTGGCGGTGCAAGTGCATAACGGCTTAGAATGGATAGATACAATCA